TGAGTGCTGGGATTACAGATAACATGCTATAATGCCTAGCTATAATGAATTTTTAATGTAGATTTTGAACATCTACTGTTTTCTGATGTAGCAAAGGTAGCACCACTATTGATGTACACACATTAGAGGTAGAACAGAATCTGACAAGTTTTAAACTACTACAAAATCTGGCATATGTTGGATCTGGAATACTGAAAGATAGGCATTGTCTATAAAAGAAAGAAGTTACCATCTGTAATTTAAAGAGGTCAGAGAGAAGCAATTAGAAATCCCACATTAGCAACATAAAATTTAACAGCATCTGGTTAAATTAAACATCTATGTAAGAGTTTATTATATTAACCATTGGTGGTCTTAGAACACCCTAATTCAAAAATTCAACCCCTTGCTGTTTGAAGATTTTAATGTCAGGATCTATCACTCTCAGACTATTCACTCTCCAACAGTATTGTGATATCACTGAGGTAATTCTTTGAGTAAATATATGTATCAACATGTGTGGGTATGCACACACTTCAGACTATAAAATTCTATCTCATCTCTATATACTGTATTTCTCTCATACACATATAAGAGTCTTGTATTGCTTAATGACAGGGATATATTCTGAGAAATGGAAGATTATTTGATTTAGCAATTGTACAAGCAACGCACTTACACAAACTAAGACAGCTAGATATCATTAGGCAATATAATCTAGTTTTGTTGTTGTTTGTTGTGGTTTTTGTTTTCTTGAGACAGGTCTTGCCTCACACTCTCTCTGTAGCTCAGGCTGGCAGTAAACTCCTGATCTTCCAGTCACCATCTCCCAAGCACTGGAATTGCTGGTATGTGCCACCATGCCCAGCACTGTACAATATAATCTTACAGGCCACTGCCTCTCAGTTCCTTTACCTCTTTCTTGTCATCAAAGGATCTTGTACCCTCTGCTCCTTCACTGTTAGGCAGCTGTCACTGTAATGCCTGAGACAGCCAGTTCTTAAAGAAAAAAGGATTTATTTTGGCTCAGAGTTTTGTGGACTCTAGTGCATGGCTGACTGGCTTCATTGCTTTTGGGCTTATGATGAGTATCATGTCAGGGAATAAAACCCAAACTGCTCACTTCACAGCCAGGAAGAGGAAAAAAAGTTTTAAATGGTTGCCAGAGTCCACTATCTTTTTTAAGGTAACGTCTCCAAAAACCTGAAGATTTCTTACCAGTCCACATTTCTTAAATCTTCGACCTCCCAGTAGTACCATGCTGGGAACCAAGCCTTTAACAGACAGACTTTCAAGGACAACTCTTAAGATCTAAAGTATAGCTCTTAGTTATTAATTCTCATGACCATGACCTGTACCCTGATATTACTGAAGATAGCCCTTTGTCTAACTTTAATATGAAACCTACTCTTCAGCCGTGTTTTGTTTTCATATCATTCCCTATGGGACCTAAGTTCTAAAAATTCTTCAGCCTGTTCAAAAGCAACAATCTAGTAATCTTAGCTGCTTGTTAGCATACCTACACCTTTTTTCTACCTCAAATATTTGTCCTCCCCTCCCCATTATACATGCGAAGTCCCTGTCCTGGTTAGTGCCCAAACTGGCTGCTCTGGCCCTGCATGAGCTAAAGAAAAATCACAACCAATTGGTCCTACTATAAATTTATGACCATTCATTGAAGGGGTTTTTAAACCTTATTATATTCCCTACTCTGTTCACTCGTCTTCACTTGGGATCTCTATTTTTTCTCTCTTCTTCCCTTGTTACTTTTAGTTAATGACCATATTAACTAGAGGAAGCTAAACTGCTACAAAAAGGGACCTCCAAATGTTATGGCTCTAACTCAACTGAAATTCATACATTGCTAACATAATTGGGTGTTCCAAGTCAGGGGAAGCTCTCCTTCATCCAGGTACTTTTTTGTGGTTCTGCCAACTCCTGGGGCTTGAAATAATCTGCATCATCAAAGCAAATGTCTAGGGTGCAGCTGGCAGAAAGCAAAAACACATAAAGGAGGTACACTGTTCAAGTAAAGGCTCTGGTCTGACTCCTTTTCTATTGGAAATACTACTTGGTCATACTTACAGAAAAGGTACTGAGAAAACAGGTCTGTGTTCAGGGAGAGGAGGAAATGGATTGTGGTGGACAATTTAGTTATTTGGCAAAATGATCTTGCTCCTTACGTCACGGAGGAAACAAAAGCAACTACAAAGCACCCTCTATTCTCCCTCTATCAATGTACCCACCTACTTTGGCATGCCCCATACGTATTGTAACTGCAAGGACGGTGTCTCTAGGCAACCCCTTAATCAGAAAGTGGACGTTTCTAAGTCTTCTGTTCAAACAATATGGTTAGCATGATCATTCTAATCACAAAATACAAACATACCGTTCGTTCCTGTACTTTTCAACTTCTGTAGTTTGATAGTGATCCACACTCCTTCCCGATTAGCTTTTATGAAACTGCAGTCTACCGTGCTTTGATGGTTCTGCCCTACTCTAGTCCTCCTCTTTTGATTTTTCTCATCTAGATCTGAGATTCTCAAACATTGATGTAGTACAAATCTCTTGGAATTTCTGTTAAGCTAAAATGCCAATTCAGCAGTTCTGGAGAGACCAGTGCTGCTCCATTGATCATACTTAGGGTAGCAAGACTCTAAGGAAGATGCTTTCAGAGACTGATTTTGCCCTCTTCTCTCACAGCAAACAGTATTGCTAGGGTGAATTCCCAATCTATTTTCTTTTGTATTTTGCATATGTGTTCATGTATGTGCAAGTGCACGTGTGCATGTATGCCCAAGGGCAACTTCAGGTATCATTCCTCAGGTGAAATCTACCTTTTTTGAGGCAGTATCTCTCATTTTTGCCTGGAGCTAACCAAGTACACTCGAGTGGCTAGCAAGCCCAAGATCCATCTGTCTCTGCCTGAGATTGAGATTACAAAAGTAAGCCAGAATGCCTGGCACTTTTTCATGGGTTCAAGGAATTGAACTCAGGTCATGCTTACAAGGCAAGCACTTGGCTGACTAAACTATTTTCCCAGCCCCTAGTGCGTTCAGTCCTTTCCCTTATTTTAGAACCTTTATTTCTCAGTTCTTAGCTACATCTATTTGGCTGCCTTCAAGCCCTTTGGATGTCCAGATCTAAAATGATCATCTTTTCTCAAAAAGTAGCCCTGTCTCCTTTCTCTTCTAATTATCCTTTTTCTCTCTTAGAATTATCTACAACCCGAAGTCCCTATTTTTCTCTTTGCCCAATCCCAATTAATCAAGTTGTCAATTTCTGTAGAGTATACCCCCACATCCTTTCTCACTCGTGTTCTTTTAAATTCTTCCTGACCTCTTTATCTCAGATATACTCCTCCCCTACCAGTCTTTCTTTGTTAACCACTAACCTTGAACTCACTACTCTGGTCAGGCTCCCAAGTACCGAGATTACAGATGTGTGTCATCACTCCAGATAACTCATTATCTAACCTTACTACACTCTACCTGGCCTATGTAGGGCTCTGTCAATTTTCTTCCTCTAACCTTTTTTTTTTTTTTTTAAGTCTTTTTTGAGACAAGATCTTCCTGTAGCTGGGATTAAAGGCGTGCACCACCATACCCAGCTTTTTTCCTCTAAACTTTTAAAATATTACTAACTCAAAATACTGCATTAAATACAAATTCTTACACTTGGCACTTCTGGCCCATTGTGCAACGTGTCAGCATCCCCTAACCTCCAACGAGGAATATAGCTTTCACTGGCTTTCGTGTAAGATCCCACGGTCTTGTTGCAAAAGCCTGCCTCCTCCTCCTAAGTCAATTCCAAATGCTTCCTTCAAGCAGCCTGCCTTCTTTGAAGCCCCACACAGATAAGAGTAGTTCTATGATCCTGTGAAGTAACACTCTGTATTTTTCCCACGGCACCTATATCATGGTTTGGTGTTTACTACAGTTACTCTGTTTCATTATTCTTGGGGACAAGGATAACAGCCTCATTTCCTCTCAATAACCCTGCAGCATCTTACCTATGAGGGAAGGGTGTCTTGTATCAGTGAATTGAAGTGATTTCTGAGATAACGTCAAGCAATGGGGGTGAGAATTGGCAGCCAGTATAGCTGGGTTCCAGCTCTGCCATTAGCTCTAAGGGTTTGTCACCTAACTCTGCTTGCAAAATTAAACCACCTGATAGGGTATTCGGGGAAAAAGAACTGAGTAGTTCTATTTCTTACGGAGATATGAATGAGGCTGGCTGGCTGTGCGAATTTTGGCACGAGCACCGCTCTACTTCACTAACTGGAGGTGTTTCCCGAGTTTGTACGGCCCTCCTCTCCCTGCTGGGTCTTTAACTCCTCTCCAGGATACCAGCGATCCCGCGGAGCTGGCGGAGCTGCGCGGGAGCGGCCTAAGTGACTTCTCCCGGAAGGCCTCCCACCTTCCACCCCCGCAGGGAGCCCTTCTCCCTGACCCCAAGACAGCAGAGCCACCGCCTATGTGAGACGTTTGGACCCTGCCCGGCCCCCGTAGCTCTCCTCTCCAGCAGGTGGTTCTGGTCCTTCGCGACCACCAGCCGACCTCTACCCAACGCTAGCGCCCGCGTCGGCGCCGCGACCCACGGGAAAAGAATTAACGCGCGCGGCTGCAGGCGCGCAGGCCCTGCCCGGCCCGGCTCCC